GAAGATGAAACTATATACCATAATCAACAGTCTATCTACAAATAATGGCTGGAGACGGCTTAAATGGGTAATGAAGAAAAACTTTAATACAAGTTTAACATGACAGCAAATGTACAACGTTTCGACAAGGTTTTGTCATCATCAGGTACCCATCATCAAAACCTTGTCGAAACGTTGTACATTTGCTGTCATGTTAAACTTATATTAAAGTTTTTCTTCATTACCCATTTAAGCCGTCTCCAGCCATTATTATACATCTAAATAATATATATACAGACGTACAGTGCCTTTACCTCTCAAATTAACAACAATACTGAATTTACTCGAAACTTTTCGTTGTTAAGCACACATCAGAAAATGCCAATACATCACGTGCTTATTTGAAATAGCCCGTTCAGAAAGCTGGTAATCTTGGCAGGAAGTAAGCTAGTTATCAGTATGTCAAATTATGTACACGTGCTTTCTGGCAAGAGGAAGTCTACTGGTTTATTACTGTATCTTCCTTGTTCGAGCTGCTGGTCTCTGTGCTGAACTAGACTGGTTAATGGCATCCAAGTGATGGTTGAATTCATGGTAATCATGTCACTTCTTCAGTATTGGTGATTTTTACAGCATTTCTTGTCACTTTACAATGTACATTTTAAATTATCCGTATATCATTTTTTGCATTTTTTAGTAATTATGAAAAGAAAATGGCTATATAAAATACTTGTTTGTAAATTTGATGTAAAAATAAACAGAACAATGACAATATTGTATTGGTCTAAATTGGTTTTATTGTGGTCTGCTGAATTATTAATAATAAAATTACAAATTTAAGTAGATTCTTATGTAAGTCTGTGATAAAGTAGAAAGTACTGTATAAACATTAATATCGAAATAATACAAACCTATTTAGATGCTATAGTTGATTGTTTATCATAACAGTGTTAGTCTGAATACCATATATTACAGAAGTAACTAAAAAAGTACATGTACTACTGAATGATGCTACGCTTCGGTATTTATATAACTTTTTATATTTAATATTACCAGTTATAATATATAATTAGTTGATAAATGTGTTTTATGCATTTGATATTTTGTAAGACAGCACTGTATGCACCTTGGGTGTTGTACAAACAATTTAATACTCTATAACAATTTGTAACTACTGCTGTTTAGGTAAAATAAACTTTTCCACAATATCGCTTAGCAACGTGTAAACATGATTATTTTCTGGTGTACAGTTAAATATGTATTCATCTAAAGCAGAAGAAAAGTCCACTAAAGGCTACTTCTTTCAAAACAGCAACCTGTATTCTAAGGCTAATTATTTGAGAAAATTCGCCATTTGTTGAATTCAGGAGTCTCTCAGAACAACTTTTTGTTGCTTGACATAGTTGCTGATTCCATCTCTAATTTTTCTTTGTTATAAAATTGACAACTCTCTAGAATTTTCACTTGTTAAGGCTTCCAAACAATCTGTACAATGCATCATTTTTTGGGCCATTTTGACCACTGAACCAACCGTGTATCCTATGGTTGCTTCCTTAAGTAATGATGGTCACCCTGTATAGGCACTCGTACTTCAAGATATAGCTGTGTACCACACACGTGTCTAACGCATCTACAGAACCACAAGGAAGTGTCACATGATTTTTTGTAACATGTAAAATTGACGTTTATCGTGTGCAATTTCTTCTGCTTTCATGATGCATGAGCATTCTTTTATATGCAACTGTGAACTGTTATTAAGCTTGTTATTACAAATACAGGATGACCTAACAACAGCAAAATAATAATAATAATTTCAAGTGATCCTGGTTTATATATTTCATGGGAGAGGGTAGAGATGATGACACTAAAGTTTCGTACAATTATTGCACAGACTTGATTGCAGTTAGAAACCCAACACGTCGAAATGCATACTTTAGAAACCCAGTGATTCTGTTGGTTGAAAAATAAAATGTTCTGTTTCTACTAGAAAAGCTTTATTGTAACTTTTAGCCAATGGATTTCTGGAGCTGAGAATATCCAAAAGTCTATAAAATGTTATTATAAAGTTAACAATGGGCCTTAAACATAAGTTGGTTCAAGTATTTGTTGAAAAGTTTTATGTCATCTTGAACTTAAAGCTGGTGTTACAAAAGTTAACTTTCGTTTCTTGCTTCTGCCATTGAATATGCATTGTTCCTTATTTATTTCCTAGGTATAAGCCTTCTTGTTCTTACAATTTGTGCAAATCAGCAATGAACTGCCCATTAATATATTCACCATCTCAACTTTTTAAAAATTTCTTATGTGAAAACATTTCTAATGAGAGTTAGCACGTGGCATATATGAAATATTATATAAATTTAGCATTTTTAATTGCTAGGATAAAAAAAATCATGACTGTAAAATTTCTGAAGACATATTGGCATCCAATTCTTTCAACATGGAGAGGTGGAAACTTTGACCATCAAAAACAAGTACCACGCTTGTAATCTAAACATCTGACAGTTTCTGTAGGCATATGTTCACCAAGTTCTCATTATTATCCTGTCATGTCATTAAAAAGAAACAGATAACAGGCACTTTCTAGTTGCTGTTTAGAGAAACAACCTTAAACACCAATACATCGCTGGCAAAAGGAATTATGTCGTCTTCTGTGTCTGCACCAACATCAACATAGTCAAGAAATTCCTTTGCATCCCACTCCACATGCTATCTTATGGTCATTTCAGCTAGTATTAAAGTACAAATCTCTCTACTGGTTCCTTATTTTAATTTTTGCCACCAGACAAATATGAATGTTGTAGAGCAAGACTGAAAATACGTCTTACAAAATCGTTGCTTAAGTGAAGCAAAACTGCTGTGTCAAGACCGTAAAAATGGAGGATATGCTTTGCAAATAATTTTTTTTCTTCAATCAAGAATCAATGCTCTTTTAAAGATTTCTAATGGGTATCAGGAAAGATGCTGTTCAGCGTATTAAAATAATTGGTGCATATTAATTTTTTCTTCTTAGCTTCCAGGAGTAGGTTTAATAGAATAAAGGCTTGTTTCAAATGCACGCCTGTTCTTTTGTTGTGGTAACTTAAATTTTTTCCAAGCCGTACTCAAATGTTCTGTCCATTTTTTTTCTGCAGGACTGTCACTTAGTAGATCATCTTCAGCAGTGATGTTTTACATTTGAAGTAACTGGAACTGGGACCAGGTGTGCTTGAATTGATGAACTTTCTTATTGAACTCCTCTTTTTTGGCAAACTGCAAATAAGTCCCATATAATTGAATAAATAATTTACTTAAGCTATTTACGTTTTTATTCTTAAAATTTTTAAATAATTACTTCATTACATGGACAACCTGCTTTATTGTTTGACTATTGTAATTGTTATTTCTTATTAACTTTTAACTTCTACAGAAGTACTATAGTGCTATCAAGAAAGAAAATACTATAAAAAGATAAAACAACTAGCACCATTTTTTTTGTTTAACTTATAGAAATGAATCTTTTTAAAACAGCAATTGTGTCATAACCTTTTAAAAAAATCAAATATATTTTCACTGATTTCTTAATCAGACACAGTATAGGTGGGTACTTGATTTCAAATACACTAACAATTTTTTATTGATTAGTTTCTTGACAATACTATGAGTCTAAGTGTGATAACGAATTCAAACAACATTAAGCAGCTGAATATCAACGGTAGTTTTCTCAGAATAAACACTTAACCCTATTTTCAACAGTCTTTAAAATATTTTAATAATTAGAATAGCGCATTCCCAAGTTATAATGATAATATACCTTTTCTAGGTACTCAGAAAATGAAAATGCAGAACATTTTGAGCTGTTTTAGCAAAGCGTTCTTCTTCAAAATGTTCAGAACACAATCTGGAGGCTTTTGTTGGGTATCTTGCATCTCCGGATATTTATATTCATTTTTTCAACAGTTCGGGTAGTATACATAGAAAGCTGTATGAAATTTGAAAATGCGTGTAATCAATTAGATTGACAACTACCAAAAATACAATAGAACTAAAAGAAAACTCCAAGCTTAAAAATTAAAGTTGTATGTGCTAAAAAGTAAAAGTTAGCCTCAGTTAAATAACGTTACTGTCATTAGGCCTAAGGTTATTATATGAAACAATGTAGTATATTGGCAGTGGTATATCAATTCAAATTCATTTATTTACGGGAAGACAACAAAAAGTGAACTTACCAGTAGAATGACGCAGAGTTAGTCTTAGCCTGTAGTTACAGTTCCATGCCACATACACACTGTTATTTTTATATTAGTATCAGGCTACAGCTAAAAACTCCACACTGCGTCTTAGTAATTGAAAGTACTTCGGTAGGAGAAAGAATCAACAAGATGGCCACTTTATAACTTCCGGTAACTTGATGTGGAAGAGTCAATGCTCAGTCCATTTCAATACAGAGATTAGTAGTTGGATCCAAGAGTAGTAGCAGCCCACATGAACTGATTTACACAATAAACAAACTATTCTAAAATCAACAAGATATTTTTCTTTTTTTTTAAGTAGTAGATTATACTTTAAAAGTTACGATATTTTTGTATGTCATACATTTACTGTTCCATGGATATGTGGTTATTGCAATTAGAATTTTTTTTTCATTTTAAGAGTGTTCGTATACGGTGAAAAAGACTAATGACTATTGTACATGTACTTGACATTTTTATCTGTACTTTATCTGTTTTATCTCACATTCTGATGTTGTCATTGTGAAAAATAGGAATATTTTTGTATTCGAACATGAGTAGTGGAAATCATGATAGCTTACCATCTCGAAGCTGCTCGTTAACTTTCTGGATATATTTGAAGTCCTTCAACATATAAATGTGTTTCGGTGAGGAAGCTATAGCTAGCAGTTCATCTTTATTAACATCTGCTACGCCAACAGCAAATATTATGTTTCCCTTCTCCCTCAGTTCCTTCGCTATCGGTAAAGGATCACCATTATTGCTCTGCCCATCGGAAATAAGAATAACTACCCTGCCAAGTAATAAGAATAATTTCATATAATATAAATAGTAATAATTAAATAAATAGCAGGTAAAAACGAGAGAAATAATATAACTAACGTACCAGAGCAACAAATCAGTTTCAAGGTTATGATTTCTTGAAAAATCACCTGTATATAAGAATATTGTTATAAAGATCTCTTCTGGATTAGTCGATAAAAAAATATAAAGTTCAGTCCACTTATTTACAAGGAAAATGTTTTATTCCTTGGACAACAAGTTCTACATATTAAGTTAACTAATGTTTACTGATAGACTTAAGCTCACGATAAACGCTAACACAACAATTTCACTTTCTTGCTAATTTTTCGTGATCTATAATAGGCAACGTAGCTCTCATTAGTTCATTGAAAACACACAAACTTAATATTCCAAGACAGAAATAACTGACGAACAGACTCAATCAAATAATTACTCACTACTTCTAACTTAATGTAATTTCTAAGAGATTCAGACTTGGGTTTCATTCTGCTCAAACTGTTCTGAAACTTTGGATAAAATTCCACTTGTTAAGTTATGCACCCAAAGTATGATGACAAACCTTCCTCCGGCCAAACAAAAATACAAACATTTGAATTAAAAACATAGCATAGATTAATTTTATACTTTGAATATGTTTACTATTCGAAGGCAAACAATATGTCATCTGCTACCCAATTTTATGTTTCGTAACAAGTAAACTTCTCCAGGCAGTTGGGTATTTAGGAAACTAATTAATATATAAATATACTAAGTGAATCGTATTTTACTGGATTCAAATGCCACTTATCCAAATAATTTCAAAATAAGCGTCGAAATTCCAAGATCGTATCAATACCAACATCAGCACAATGAGAGTAAAAGGTAACCTACCGCCAAATACAAGGTGTATCACTAAGTACGGTAGTACTTAATAGTAAGGATCGTGATGAATCTAAAATCGCCTGTATAAAACCACCTTTAAAATGTCTGAATATTAACAATGACTATTTCGACTACTTCACAGTATTGGCTGACTCAAACGTAAGTTATTGTACTTATAAAGCCGCCTAAATAGCTAAATACGTGTTCATGGAGTGAATCAAAATTTCACCATTTCAACGAATTTTCATCGTAAGTAAGTATTTATTTATTTGTTTATTTTGCATTTCGCACAAAGCTACACGAGGGCTATCTGCGCTAGCTGTCCCTAATTTAGCAGCGTAAGGGAAGGCAGCTAGTCATCACCACCCACCGCCAACTCTTGGGCTACTCTTTTACCAAGGCATAGAGGGATTAACCGTAACGTTATAACGCCCCCACGGTTGAAGGGGCGAGCATGTTTGGTGGAAGGGGATTCGAACCCGCGATCCGCAGATTGCGAGACGAGCTCCCTAACCACCTGGCCATGCCGGGCCCGTAAGTAAGTAAGATACTTTTCCAGACAAGAAAAAATGACGAACCTTATCGCAATAATTCTATCATAAAACTCTTCTGTTTAAGAACCCATTGATTCTTTTCTTCTACCGAAAAGGATACTAGTATATATATACTCGTATATATACTAAAAAAAAAGAGTTACTTAAAATTCAAAACTTTTTATCCCTACTTTCACTCAGACCAACATAACAACAGCGACTATATGCTACAATAAGATTAATTACACTTACCACAATACCAAGTGCAACAATAAGATTAATTATACTCACAAGATCATATGCTATAATAAGATTGATTCTACTCACCACAAGACCATATGCTACAATAAGATTAATTCTACTCACCACAAGATTATATACTACTATAAAATTAATTCTACTCACCACAAACCAAATGCTACAATAAGCTTATTTCCACACATCACAAGACCATATGCTATAAGATTGATTCTACTCACCAAAAGACCATATGCTACAACAAGATTAATTCTACTCACCAAAAGACCATATACAACAATAAGATTAACTCTACTCACCACAATACCATATGCTACAATAAGATTAATTATACTTACCACAATACCGTGTGGTACAATAAGATTAATTCTACTCACCACAAACCAAATGCAATAATAAGCTTATTTCCACTCATCACAAGGCCATATGCTATAATAAGATTAACTCTACTCACCACAAGATCATATGCTACAACAAGATTAATTTTACTCACCAAAAGACTATATACAACAATAATATTAATTCTATTCACCACAAGACCATATGCTACAGTAAGATTAATTCTACTCACCACAAGGCCATATGCTACAATAAGATTAATTCTACTCACCACAAGACTATATGCTACAATAAGATTAATTCTACTC